CATATTTTCCACAATAATTACATTTGCCGGTATTATGCTTTTGAATTTTATAAAGTGAATAATTAAGTGCTGTGTGTCCAAATCTTAATCTTGTCATCACCCTCTCCTCTTTTCTATTTCGTCTTCCATTTCTTCTTTCTCTTATTGTTTTTTGAATTTTATAAAACCATCTACCTGTTTTTCCTTCATCCCACCTTTGTTGCCATTTTTCCATAAGTTTTTCTTTAATTATACTCTTTCCCTCAGATTTACTTGTTTTAATGATAAAATGTATAGGTGATTTTTGTCACAGCCATGCCATAGCCTTGTTTACTTTATTGCCATAGCCATGTTTTTTCCACAGCCATGTTAATCTTGTTTGTACTTTGCCATAGCCACGTTTTTTGTCATAGCCATGTTTTTTTTTTCACAGTCATGTTAATTTTGCTTTGTTACTTTGTCCATAGTTTTCTCACAGCCTTGTTTTTTAACTTTGCCCGCATCCACTCCGTTTGAGTGTGTTTTTTGTTCAAATAAACCCTTGTTTCCATATCTCCGCGACTATATTTGGTGCTCTTCATAACAGTTCCACCACCGATGAGCATAACACTTTAAAACCACCTGCTGTAGCACCTTCCAATAGGATCCCCCAAAACTGCTCAGGAATATCCTGCTCATTCTATTCAATTCTTCTTTATAAAAAAACTATAAAAACTGTAAAACTTCTTTATAAAAACAAAACATACATTCAGCACATAACAGATATGTTTGACCGAAAGTTGAACCATACTGAAGCGGGATTTTGCATCTTGTGCGTTTAGAAGACGCTTTTTATCCAAAGCAACGTACAATTTGGCTCCAAAATGACAATTGCCATCACGCTGAATTGATATTGAGTTGAGCTAGATTTCTTAAGTTAAATCAAAAAGTTCCATTTGCAAATCCCTGACGTTTCTTGACCAAACTGTTCAGTATTCTCCACTATGGCTCAAGATCTCCAGTCCCAATGTGTCCCTAAAGGTTGCATGATTAAAAGAAAGTGATTCATTTCATAGTGGCCTCCTTTCTTTTCCGTGTAATATTTTTTGGATGTTTTGCAGGCAGACTTTGGATTTGCCAAGCAGATTGGCGTTGGAAAAAAGACCTGGACCTTCTGTGGGACTCCAGAGTACGTGGCCCCAGAAGTCATCATGAACAAAGGCCATGATTTTGGCGCTGATTGTTGGTCGTTGGGAATCCTCATATTTGAACTTCTCACTGGAAAGTAAGTGAGTCAGACCTTAATTGGTTCCACTGTGATTCCTCCTCGAATATTTTGGCCAAAAATTGTAGAGAAAAGGTGTTGCAGGGCGGAAAACAATAGCATTGAAGTTATGCATCCTAGTTATAAATGTCAATGTCCCTTTAGCACATATGAAACTATATGTCATTTATTTATATATATATATATATTATTCGGGCACAAGAGGTCATAAGACACAACAGGAATGTGAAACCAACGTTTTTTTGCACAGTTTTATGACATAAATGGTTATCGATTATTACAGTGTTTGCTCTTGTTTTCTATTGATAGAATTAACATTTTAACCCAAACATGTTAAAAGTTAAGATTGTAAGATTGTACTTAAAGGGATATATGAAAACCTGTTTTCCTTTTTGTAGCCCACCCTTTGCAGGGTCAGACCCAATAAAGATTTACACCATGGTTCTCCATGGGATAGAGAGGGTCGATTTCCCAAAGAAAATAGGAAAGCGTCCAGATGACCTCATCAGGAGACTTTGCAAGTATGGCGGATCACACACCGTTGTCAGATAATAACAGATAATAGTTCTGCAACTGTTCATTTGAAATGAGATAAAAAAAACCTAGTTATACTATAATTAACGGTATGGAGCTGATCACATAGTATCACTTCATATAGTAAGTTCCTTGAGGCTAAAAGACAACACATTAGACCCACATTTGTTTGATTTATTACATTTAAGCACTGCATCAGGATTCATTTGAGACTTTTTTTAATCTAAAGAATTGAATGCAAATTTGACATTGGATTTCAAATGAGTAAAAGCATTTATCTTTTCCTTTTGCCTTCATCAATCAAAGTTCACTTTATGTTTCTTGTCATCTGTACAGTGGTTCTGTATGTTGTTTGGGGTAAAAAAAAATGAGTTCAGATTGGTAAACAAAACTAAAAACTGAATTAAAAAAAATCAGTGAACGTAGACAAAAGTTTAATTATGGTAAAAGTGGTTTTCTACCTTCTTTCTGAAACTACTATTGCCCTGCAAATGCTAACAACTCCAACTCTAGGCACTGTGTGATATATATATATATATATTTATGATTTACTAACCTAATAAACTGATATTTGGCCCAACAACAGTATTCAAATTTCCGTACAAATGAAATATTAATTCATTTGAAGAGGGCCATGTCCAATACTGTGTAGAATCCTGTGAGAAGACCAGTTTCTAAACTTTCATGCAGATTAATGTCATTGTATTCTTGACTGATATAAGACTGTGTCTGTTTTAATTGCTTTCATTTGAATTTTATGATATATTTCAGCTCTGCAAAAGCCGCGGTAACAACACATAACAAAATATAATAGTAAACATCCTTAAAAACGTCAAGTTTTGTCATTTAACTCATCGATTCTTCAAGAAAATGTTCAGTATGGCGCCTTTCCTGATCTCATAATTACCATTATAATTACCATAATTCCTAATCTCGGAATTAGGACATCTTTGGTCATAGTTATGAGATAAGGTGTGTAATTTTTTTTTCACTGAATGCAATGCAATCACGTAGTTATTCATAAATATATTTCTTAAAGCTCAAATTGAACATATTTGATATATTTTACTGTTAAACTGTGAATACAGTGTTGTTAAGATCTGGAATTCGGATTTGGGTTATTACATGAGCATCTTACACAAAAAGGACATGAGGTCTACATTTATCATGTAAACAAAAGTAGGTTCCCTTAAACGTATTATTTTCCATTTATATATGGTTTTATTAGATCATATTTCGTTACAGCACTGGATGAATTTACGTGGTGGTATGTGGAGTGAACACTCAGTTCAAGAAAACAAATTTAAACCATTAATTAAACTGAATAAAAATCATCTGACGGAAATATCCCAGGATGCATTTGGCGGTAAAGCAGCTAAAAGCTTTTATTTCTCGCTTTAGCGTCAGTTATACATTATATTCTTAAGTTCTAACATTTTTTAATACAATAAATATCCTTAATATGCGACTAGTTTATCCAAATGGTTCCTGTGTATATACATATAATCTAACCTGTCACATGAAACATTCACACCCGGAAAGTTTGAGGTATTTTCAGACGAAAATACAAATCAACCCCAACCCAAAAATGGGCTTTGCAAGTTATAATGCATTCTTACACCCACACATAGACTCATTCTTGCTCTGATACACATATTTTCACTCTCACACACATTCTTTTTTCCTCCCAAACACTTTCATTCTCCTTCATTGCTTTCACCTACATGGGGAATTCTTCTCTACACAGGAAGTTTTAAAAAAAAAAGGCTGTGGCATCATTAATAAGATCAACATAATACAATGATGCTATTTAAATGTATCCAGATGTATTTCCTAGTGCTGTTAGTAAAGTTTGAGGTTGGAAGAAATTATTAGGAATTGAGATTTGTTTATGTCTTAAGATAAATAGTTCATAGTCTTTATTTGGATGATTTATTAGTGCATGTTTACATACATACGTAAATGTTTCTGCTCTATATACAGAGTTATAGTTAGTTTATCTGCACAAGAACAAGTCGCCAATTATCTGTTATATTTATCGTAATTATTTCTGATTAACCCTTTCAGGTATAGTGGTCACCGCAGAGGAGAGCTATTTAAAAATCATTTTCTCGTGTTTATATATGTGGGTTTTTATGTTTTAAATGCACAGAGGCCACTGAAGATGACAATAACGATAATGTAAAAAAGATAACAAAATGTGCATAAAGAACAAAGCAAAGTTCCATGTTTGTGCATTCTGTCAAAATGTCAAAAAATGTTCACTTTGCAACATGTATTATTTTTATTAGAAAGAAATCTTTTTTAAAAAAAAGCTGTTCGCTTGACTGGGCATTTGGAAGAATCCTTGAATAAACATATTTTTGATTAAATATTTTATTTGAAGCCAAATTTGTATTTCTGAAATAAATAAACAAAAATAAACAAAAATCCTGACAGAAATTATCATAATTCATACATAAAAGCATTAAAGTATACTTTGGAAGAAGGGTTTAAATCCTTTATACTTAAAAAAATTATATTGGAGATGTGAATATAACCTCTAAAATCTCTACTGATGCTTTGACGACTAGTTTTGAACATTAAGATTTTTTTTTTTGCTTTTTTTGGACAGGTTAAACCCGGTGGAGAGGCTGGGAAACAAAAAGAACGGTATCATAGACATCAAAAAACATAAGTAAGTCTGTTCTGATTACCTCTTTTCCTTCTTTAAAAAGCAGTGTTGGCCTTTTATTGTTAATATCCAGTTAATGGCAATAATTGTGTCTCAGGCACGCTTCCTTTTCATCATTTTTGACTAATTGGTCTTCATGGCTGGAGAGTTTCACGAAAAATATTATGTAAATTAACATGAAATTACTATGATGTTTAGAATTTGTAACAGAATTTCTGCCCTTACTGGGATGCCTCCTTCCAAATTTGTTCTATTTATCAATCCATCTAGAAATGTTGATGTTTACCTTCTTTCCTATAGTTAATTCAAGCCACTGTAGTTTAAAAAGAAGAAACTCACCAGATGATATTTCATTAAAATCTAACTATGATGTTATGAATTATGGAAAAATTTCGGTTTAGATGACGGAATCTGATCTAAAACCCATAATCTGAAAGGGGTTATCCTTCTATTACATTTTGAGAAGTAAAACCAGAGTCAGAAGATTTGCATTTTCTTTTCTAGATGGTTCCAAGGCTTCAACTGGAAGGGTTTGAGATCTCACCAGCTTTTGTCTCCACTGAAAAGAGAGGTGAGCTTAAAGAACCCGATCATACTACAATATCAGTCAAAAGATGATGATTACCGATTTATTCTTTGGACGTTTTAGATTTTCCTTTACTTCGCCTTTATGCTAGTTTCTTGGATTTCATTGTTTCTCCACTTTTTTAATGACCCTTTTGAATGCTAAGTTGGTAATTTATTTGGACTAAGCACTTTTTTTTATCATCCTGTTCTTAAGATTTCTAATTTGATTCCATCTCAGTTAATTGTTTGCATTTTATTCTATGTTCCAGGTAGGATTTTTGTATTTGAACTGTATACTGTATACATACAATATATATATATGTATGCAAAACACAAAACAGTGTCTTTACTAAATTGATTCTTAAATGTATTAACTCTTATATCCATTTTCATAGTGTATTCTCATGGTAACATGAGCCTCATGAGAATGGAGCTAGATTTACCAAATTAATAATTTAACAAAGAAAAACACACACCTGAAGAAGGCATAGCAACATATTTTAAGACCCTCTATTCCTTAAACATTTAAATATTCATTGTTAAGTGGGATTTAGCTACCCCACCAACCTGAAACAAATAAACGCATAAACGTTCATCCAAAAACATCCATAGAACTTATATTACTGGTCAAAACAACACAAAACAGCGTGATAACGTACAGTGAACAATAAAGAACAATATTAATAAAAGATATAAACATAAATGACTCAATTTTTGAAAAATAACACAAGATTACAACAACATTTTTCCACACAACTTACCCTCATCAATGTGAATCGGGACTTTTGACAATTTTAGATGTACAGGAACTTTTAAAATCTTTAATACCATAAAACAACAGATGGCCAACCAGAGGCAAACAATGCCACTTTGTTGCAATAGAAAACAAAGGCTGAATTTACAAAATTCATAATTTAACAAAGTAAACACACACACAGAAGGCATATCATCAGACCTTCTGCTCCTAAACATGCGAATATTAATTGTTAGCACCATAATGTGGGAATTAGCTATGCAGCTACACAGAAAAAACTTGCCTAAAAATGTCCAACTAAAAATATCCATAAAATGTATAATAGCAATCAAAACAACACAAAACTGCAAGAGGATTTATTAAAGTAAGTGTAAATTAAAAGAACTCATTGAGATCAAAATTCATAAATACACAAAATAATCATGTAAATAAAACTTACAGATACAAATTGGAAATTAATAAAGTAAATTTTTAACTCTGTTAAACTAGCTCCATACTAGCAGTGGAAGTCAAAGCCTAATTATGTTGACATTTTCTTCCCAAGCAGCTCCGATCTAAATGAAATTTCATATTTGCAGCTCTAGAGATAATTTTCCAGCTTAATCGACATCAACATAAATAGGGGAAATTGGCATACCGCATAAATAATTGTATATTACATTCATTCATCGCTGATTATGGCGTACAGCTGAAGAAAACTAAAAAATCCGATATTCTAATATTTTGAGATAGGATATTTGGGTTTCTTAAGCTGTAAGCCATAATCAGCGATATTAAAACAATAAAAGGCTTGCGATATTTCAGTTGATTTGTAATGAATCCAGAATGTATGACATTTCATGATTTTTAATTGCATTACAGAAAATAAAGAACTTGATCACAATATTCTAATTTTCTGAGACAGTCCTGTATATCATCAGTCATTATTTTTTATTTTGTCTGCAGCTAAAGGGACCAACGGATCACAGCAACTTTGACGTGTTCCCTCCAGAAACGGAGGATCCTCCTGATGAGCAGTCTGGTTGGGATAAAGACTTCTGAGAACTGGCTTTCTGTTTCCAGAGACTCCAGATAGAAACAGGAAATATCTCCATCTCTTAAAGGAAAAGGGACTGAGATGACTCAAACTCACAAACCTGCTGTGAAAAACAACGTTCCTGTTCCTTGACTGGTTTCCTTTTTCCATGATCACTACCATAAAAATGACCAGAGGGAATAACTCTCACATGAGGAGGACAGATTATATTAAAAAAACTGTGAATCAGGTCTTCCATAAAGGGCAATTCTGTGTTTTTTCTGCATCTACTCTGCTCTGGAGCCACATTGTTTAATATATTGACAGAATATTCGGTTTATTAAGTTAACAAAACTTTTTCTGTATATTTTGAGACAATTATTTTTTCGTTAAATTGCATAATAGTGACTGTGTGTATGTGTATGAGAGGTTAAAAAGTGTATTATTTAGTGACGAGATTTATATGCAAGAGTCAGTTGGGACAAGCAAACTAATCTCTAATGTTTTAGAGAGTGCTTTCCAAAATACTGCAGTTTAAATGTGTCTATATAATGTAGCTTTGGACATAAAAATTAACCACATAGGGGCATTCAACCAATTGATAAACCATTTTTATCCAAAGACATTTGAAATTCAGGCAAATAACTGATGTCTGTTATTGCATTGCGTCCAATTAGGAGATGTAATATTGAAAATATTAGACAAGGCCCTGAAATATAGATATCTAGATAACTTACTTTGTTGATAAGCTCAAGTTTTTTAGTTTCAGAATATTTTCCTTTTGTTAATACATCTCCTTTCAGTTATCTCAGGTTTCCACAACAGTCTTATTTCTTCAAAAATGAGTCTTTTCTAAGCTGGACATACCAAAGTCACACACAGGAATTGAATTTGATGGTGCAATAACATTTAGGTGTTTTCGCATAGTTAGTAAGATTAATTGCTTGTTAACCTAAATGCTACTCAGTTCATTAAAATTAACGAAAAGCACAAAAGTTAAAAGATATCAATGTAAAACTTTTGAGCAAAGTAAAGTTTGTAAGGCTTTGAATGTTTAAAGTCAACATTAATGTGAGGTGCTTTGGTAACTTTCCAGTTTATTGTTGTTCATCTAAATGAGGTGTATTTTTTGCTTTTTTTGTTCAGCGGGTAAAGTGCCTCAGAGTTTTTATGCACAATATATGTGAAAAAAAACAACAACTTCCAACTCTGCACTTCTTTTTTTGTTGTTGTTTGAGCAGCAAACATTTTAGATGTTGGAATCAACACTAATGTCATCCATAAATACAGTAATTGCTCATCCAGTGTGAAAATAAACCTGTTTGCTGTGCAAAAAAGACATTTGGTGTCACCCACTGAAGGAATTTTTTTTATCACAAAAGCACCAAAGAACAAACATAAACTGAATTTGAGAACCCCTACATTTTTTACGCGATGAAGACTGATCAGTTACTCTGTTTTTCAGTGAAATGTGAAATAAAAGTAGTCTTGTCAAAGCCATTGGTGAAATGCTGGGGGATGAAAAACAAAAACAAAGAGGATCATTGTTTTTGCTGCCAAAGCTGTTAAATATATAACATTCCTCCAGACAATTGGCCTCATGGTATTTGTTTCACTCTCCTCAAAGACAAGCAGCGTTTATTTGGAAAAAAAAAACATCAACCACAGATCCAGACTTTAACATAAAATAAGGGGTTAACACACATTATTTTAACATATTATGTATAGAGTTTAATTCAGTGTTTGCAAGATTAATTCCACTATTCTTAATAAAATGTCTATATTGCCATGCAGGAATTACGATAATGCATGTTTATTGCAATGTTTTTGTTTTTGGGAAATTATTTTAACGGCTACTGTCACGTTAACGAGGTTCTAAAAATTAAAAAATGTCCCCGAAAACAACGTGAAAGCAGTTTTTTATGCTGTTTATATCTCTATGGAGACAACAACACAACAGCCTGCCGTACTTCCGGTCTCAGGCCCCGACACTGCGCATGCGCGGGGCAGCACTCACGCAAGATTACAGAAAAGTTTTGATTTTTTAGTATCATTTATGGTTCTTACCGTTAGAAATTCTAAGATATATTTTTTATTCACATAATAAAATAATAAAAAGGACCAAGAACCGAACCTGCTCCTGACCCCGGAAATCTTCCACCTTCAAATCACTGACAAAAACACACCTTTTGAAAATAGCTTTTTAATCTGCTTCGTGTTTAAGCGTGTTTATTGTACTTTTGGATACTTTTTGGTAGACATTTTTTTATTTGCCGTACTTTTTATGTAAAGTGTCATTTTAAATAAAATGTATTATTATTACGAGGGGATTGATAATCAATCAATCAATCAATCAATGTTTATTTATATAGCACTTTACAACAACCGGAGATGACCAAAGTGCTTTACAGAATAAAAACAGATCAAACTATCGAAATATACAAAGACAAACACATTGGTGACAGAACCCAGTATACAGAGGTTTTACGTGCAAAAAGCCATCCTGAACAAATACGTTTTAAGTTGAGCTTTGAACTTCAGTTCTAACACCAGGGGGCGATAGTGGTGTTATGCTGGCGGCCGCCCGCAGCCGAAATAGCAGAAGAAGAAGCAGCAGCAGCAGGAAAACACGCCGTAGAAGAAGAAGAAACCTCAGAACAAGTACCAGGAGAAGACACCTAACGAGAAGCGGCATTGTTTTCTTCCTGAGGAACTTTTTTTGCTCTACTTTTCTTTAATAGAGACCCAGCTCAGGCTGAGGGAGGCGTTCAGGGTCCGGAGTCCCAGTGGGACCTCTCTGTTCCCGCCACCACCATGTGCCAGGTGGAGGAGGACTACCAGCAGCAGCTCGAGCCTGCTCACGTGCCCAGGTACGGTCTGAGTGACGTCAGCTTTTCCTCCGGCTGTGAGCTTTAATCATTTATTTATTTATTTAATCAGGACAGTGCACATTAACGAACAATATCATACAGATTGTAAATGAGCCAGATTCTAGCATAGTTGCTAGTTTACATCTGTCGTCCTGAGGCAGGAAGACCAAACAACACAAAATCACAAAATAAAAAATCAGTCCAAACACACGTTCAGACAATGACATTACAAAATTAAAATTAATTCAATTCAATTTCATTTCTATAGCGCCACATCACAACAACAGTTGTCTCACAGCTTTCCAAACAGAGCAGGTCAGACCTACTCTGAAGTTAATTACAGAAACCCAACAATTCCCACCATGAGCAGCACTAGGCGACACAGGCAAGGAAAAACTTCCATTAACAGGCAGAAACCTGGAGCACAACCATGACTCAGGGTGGACGGCTTAATGGCTGGGGTCCCACACACAGGGCAAACTGTGGACCAGCCTCTTTATTTTCTTTATTCATGTATGTGACTACAAGTGATGTGGCTCAACAAATGTTTTTATTTCCTTTACTTAAGAGAGTGCCCCTACTGTTGTCTGGTGTTTACTAAAGACTAAAGTTCAGTTCGATACAGTTGAGCAGTCTGAGTCATTATTAATAATTGTGGTTTCATGTAATTAAAACTGTTCTAAGTCCTCAACAAACAGTCGGGCAATAAACACCCACAAAATAAAAAATTGTATTTGTGTTTGGTCTCTACAGTTTTGACCAGGCCACATTTATTTATTTATTTATTTATTTATTTATTTATTTATTTATTTAATCAGGACAGTGCACATTAGTGAACAATCTCATACAGATTGTAAATGAGCCAGATTCTAGCATAGTTGCTAATTTGCTAATCTGTCATCCTGAAGCAGGAAGACCAAACAACACAAAATGACATACAAATGAATACTCAAGAAAGAGAGAGGTTATGTAGGGAGTTAGGCAGGAATAAAATAAAATTGGATATTGGGGATTTGTTTCAGAGGTCGTCTGGGGATGTGGTTATTGGGAGTGTTTTCAGTTTTTTAAGAAAAACCGGTGTGTTAGGAAGAATTTAATAGATTGTCGAAATCCATACTCCAATCTGGAAGGTGGCGGTAATGCACCTAAAAGTTGTTTGCCAACCGCCATAAAAAAAAGAGAAGAAGAAGACATACAAATGAGTTTAAGATGTTCTGATGGAGAGTGGGTGTCACTTTATTGTCTTTTACTACAGTTTTCTTCATTTTTGTGTCACATCTGTGGTTTTAAGACGTGTGCTCTGCTTGGTTTCAGCGTGTCTAAGAAATGTGTGAAATGCAAAGAGGCGCGGGCAGCCGTGGTCATCAGAGTTGGAGACGCTTACTGCAGGTAAAAGCAGCTAGAAAACATTTTGAAGGGGGGGCCTACTGCACACAGGAAAGCTGAAAACAGGCCTTTCTCTTTCTCTTTGTCAGGAACTGCTTCAGAGACAGCTTCGTCCACAAGTTCCGAGCCATGCTGGGAAAAACCAGAGTCATCTTCCCTGGAGAGAAGGTAACGGACCTAAAGGAGCAGTAAAGTGGAGGAGGAGAGGGTCCTTAGTCCAGAAAGGGCCAAAAGCCCATTAAAGGGCTTTTCTACAGATGAATGTGGCCACAGAGAGCAAAGCTTTTCTGTGTGGAGACATTATGAGGATGCACAGAGACTCTCGAAGAAAATCAGAATCAGAAATACTTCAATAATCCCAGAGGGAAATTATTTTTGTTGCTGGCTATATATATATATATATATA